TCTACGTGTTTTGTTTGTTTGTTAGTTTTTTTTTTCATTTTTCCTATTTACTGCATACAAAAACTTGTAATATATGGTAATAATAGAGAAAATTTGGAGATATTTAATGGAAACATAAGGATTATAAATAAATTTTTTTAAATTATAGGGACTAAACTGAAATCGAAAAACCATAATTTCGAAACCACCAAAATTTGAATGATTGAGAGTTAGCAGTGAAAGGAATGAATGGGTTGGGTGGTTGATAACGTATGCCCACACACCACTCTCCAACTTTTCATCTAAATTGACCTTTTTTTTTTCTCTTTCTTCTTTTTCTTTTTTAAGGTTTAATCAAACAATTTCCCTTAGCCCAAACTACGCTCTGCCAATGCTTTTTTCTTCTTCTTTCTTTTTTTCCCCTCTTTCTCTTTCAACTTGACAAAGCCATTGAATTATAAACTTTCTGCTTTAGAATTTTGGGGATTTGATCACACTAATTTGGCAATCTGACCCTTTGAAATGACTGCCAAAAACTTGCTTTTCCTCAATAATTATGGCCCATGAAATGAGGCCAAATCAAACCCTCTTTTTCTTGTAACTCTCCCGTCATTTTGGTCAATTTTCCAAATAATTTTATTGAACTTTTGGTTGAAATACGTGTCTCAACCAGTTCAGTTATATATATATATATATATGTGTGTGTATATCTCAAGCACGGGAGTGTAAATAAAAAGTAAAAAAAATTTACTAAATGAACGACTTATTGCAACTTTTGGTTTAAAGTTAAGCCTAATAAAAGTTTACGGTGAATGAAAAACAAAAGATTGGACAAGAACTCCTTTGAGCTACATACATAGATCAATTTGATTTCCTTAAAATTAAAAACAAATAGGCTTAATCCTTTTAGTCAGTTTCAATCAATTCGATTTAGCTTTATCAATTTCAATCCGTTTAATTTATTCGATTTTTAAAATCAATTTAAGGTCAAGGGTTCAACGGGTTTGGACTAGTATAGTACACAAGATTTTATATATTTCATTAAAATTTTAGATTTCTTTTTCAATCAAAATTTGATTGAAAATTTTTAATTAATTAAACCGATAACCGTTTCATTTTTCATTTCTTTTCAAGTACTTTCTTATTTTCAAAACTTTTTGTTTAAATTTTAGTAGGATTTATAAACTTAATTTTTTAAAATAAAATGATTTTAAAACCTTTTTTTAGTTCTACAACGTGAAATAACAATTCAAATTTCTAATATTTTATTTTTGAATATATACTTTAAAAAGTTAAGCTATATTAAGGTTAGCTAAATGCTTAAAACTAATGGTAAAATCATTTAAATTTGCCAAGTATATGTAAACAAATAATGTAAATAGGGCAAAGATGAATTTTCACCTAATACTTGGTAACGTGAGAGGAGGCCAAAACAAAAGGTTGGTTTAGGTTCTTGATTTCAGCTAATCACCAGCAAAATCACATTCTCCTTGTGTCATTCTTTCCTATGGGGTCGAAATCGACCATTCCCAAAAATCCCAAAAATAAAAATTGATACGCGAACATATCCCTAGAACTTTTTAACCATGTTTTCAAGGAAATGCAGAAGCAAGTTTTCTTCTTTACAACGAGCATATCAATATTAGTATAGCATTTTGGGAGTTCTTCGAGCCTTGATCTCGGGTTAAGGTCGACTTTGAGAGCACTGTTCTACAACATGAGAGGTGTCCTTATGGATCTTCTGGGATTCCCGGTGGTTATCTGATGCATATGTTTCCTTCTCTTAGCTATGTCTGTGCCTCCTTGTCCTAGAATGACTAGTTCTCCTAAGATTCTTCTGAAGGTAATCCTCATCAGAATTCTTATTCTCAGATTTCAAATCACTATAAGTCTGATCATCATCATGCCGAGAAGACTTTCTTCGAGACCTCCGGTGTTCGGATAAATCACTGCTTCTGTGTTTGCTGTGATCTTGCTTGTTAACTTTGTCATCATGGTAGTCCACTGTGCCAAGAACATCCGTTTTACTTCTTTCACCATAGTGAACAGGGCTTCCAGAATCGTAGTGAACAGCACTTGTAGTCTCACTAGGTTTCTCAAAATCATCGTAACTTCTTTCAGGATCCCATCGGCCTTCTTTCTCGATGTGCTCGCTGAGATCCAGTGGTTTGAACCTCTCAACATATCGATCTGAAATAGAGGCCTCCTGATTCTCATCTGATACTACATCACTATGTAAGGAATCAATGCTGTGACTATCCCCTGTCTTGAAGTCCCTAGAACCTGATTCTAAGTGACGGCTACAAATTTTTCCTGTGCTAGATTTCTTGCTTTCATAATCAGTCTTCAACTTAGATTTCTGTTTCATCTGGTTATCCGAGTCTTTAGGCACCTCATCCCAATGTTTTTTGGGCTTTTCACCACTTATAGGGCGTCTATCCTTGTTTCTGTCGGAACAATTTCCATGCATATCAGGATCGTTAATTACGCTCTTACTGATTGGAGAACCATCTATGGTTTTAGAAGTCTCAGAAACTCGCTCATTGCTTTTCCTTCTTTTGCGCCGATGTCCATCTTTGTCCCTATCGCCACTTGACAAGTCTGCATCAGTTTCGTATGATGTGTTCTCACTGTCATCACGATCTGCAATTTGAACTCGAGTTCTTTGGTTTTTGTCCTGATTCCTAGGCCCTCGTGATGTTTGACTATGATCTCTCCGTTTCCTTCTCCTTTCAAACTTATCTGCTGATTCATCTGAATCTGCACCATTAAATCTGTTTTTTCTCTGTTGATCATCTTTTAAGTTAGCCTTCTCATATGCTTCCTTGTCCAAACTTTTCTGCCTCTCATCAACTTTTTCTCTACGAGAATGCCTGGTCCATCTATAGTCAATTTCACCGTTTCTCCTTCTTCCAGAACCATGGTCCAGACTTCTAGATTTAGATCTTCTTGAATAATATCTACCATGAAGAATAAAAAATTATAGTAATAATAAAACATCAAACCTCCTACACTTAATAAAATTATTTGTGACAAATGAGATATAAATACATATGTACATTAAATTTTTTATCACACGGATATGATTATTTCCGGCCAACACAAGCCCCAGGACTTCTAATTAATATTAAATGTTTGAAGAAGTTAGATCTCAACTAAAAGTCAGCTTAGCAAATCAATGGCCAGAAAGCTATCCCCTTTAAAGTTCAAACAAGTTATTAGGGAGGAAATCTGGCTGGAAAAAGCTCATAGGAAAAACTTGGTAAATCAAAGGTTAACAAATAAACGATGCTGAATGATGCATATTGAATTTTAAGAAATTGGGATCTAAGAAAACAAAAGGGACGGTGAAAAACAAGAGACTAAGAGTATTGGAGATCATAGTTACTCCAAACAAGTACCTGTCGTCTACATCTGTTGACATTGACTTTCTGGATTTTCCAAGCTTGTCCCAATGTTCGAGCTCAGTATGTTTGTCATTTCCAGATTCATCTACATAACCAAACAAAGAAGCCATCTTTTTCACCCAATATCGTGGGGGTGGTTTGTCACTGTCAGCCCACTCATAGTCCCCACCAGGATTTCGAAAACAATGGATGAAATTACAAGCTGTTCCATGAGAACACGTCTGAGAAAATGCAATGGAAACTATCAATAATTGCACGGTGGCAAGACCTTGAATGAAAAGAATTAGTTTAAATGAGAGGAAAAGGGGGAGGTAATGCATTACCTTGTACCTGGTCTTCATAAATTCCCCACATATAGCTATCTTCCATCTAGTAATATTTACAAATTCACATATTACCTGTCATAAACAAAATCCTCAGATGAGCAACATAGCACCAGTTCAAAGCCATGCTGGGGAAGAAAGGGGAGAATGGGAGGGGAGCTCCACTCTTAGGTTGAACAAAAAACCAACAGATCCTGAATTCCAAAAATTTTCACCAACAAAAATTGCAGAGATGGAGGAGAAACTACCATAGCTGAGACACGTGCAGGTGCAATACCATCAGAAAATGATATCTACATGACTACTTATTTTGCATGAACTTCCCAGAAAACAGACCATGCTAATAACCTTCTCAGCCAAATAAAGCTTTTGATCAGAACTTGTTTTCAGGGCCGGAGAATTGGAAATCGAATAAGTACATTGCTCTATTGGGCCTTTGGCTTTGAAGATTCCTATTAAAAATGGACCACTTTGGCAGTAGGTTACTGAAAACAAAGTCTAATTTTATCCACTTGTCTCTCTCGCAAAGTCAGCGACCTCTGCTTTCCTTTCCTCCTTTTGCAGTCTCTCTATAATAAACTTCTCTTTTAGAAAGAAATTCTTAAAGATGCAGAGGAGTCAAAGTTATATTCAAGGCATGATTCTTCAAATCAATGACATCGAAGGGGATCTGGATCAATTTAGGTTCATCACTTCTAGTTCCTTTTTTTTTTCTGTTCTTGGTATTACAGCAATGTGATCCATCCTTGCAACAAGGAAAAGAACATTGTTTAGCTTTTTGGCACCTTTGGCTTGAGAGGAGCAACGGTACATTCGACATCATTGAAAGGACTTTTGATAGTTTCCTACAATCTATATCTTTTGTGGCTCACTTGAGTTACATCTCGACAACTATTGTTTAAATGTTCTTTGTGCAATTGGAAGGATATTTTGTGATCTTTATTAGCTAGGGGTTTAGCTTTGTTTTCCTCTGGTGTAATTCCAGATCATCCATGCAATGTTTGTTTCCTATCAGGATATTCTGTGATCTTTACCGGCTAGGAGCTTAGCTTTCTTTTCCTCTGTTGTAATATTCCAGATCATCCATGCAATGTTTGTTTCCTATCAGGATATTCTGTGATCTTTACCAGCTAGGAGCTTAGCTTTCTTTTCCTCTGTTGTAATATTCCATATCATCTATCATCTATGAAATGTTTGTTTGCTATAAAGAAAGGGTGGAGTTCTCACT